GAGCATAAGTTCCTTCAAACTATTAGTGACCTTGACCTTGGAGGTAGGAACATGGGTCTTACACAGTCCAAGCTACAGTTTCGACACAAATGTGTACCTTCAACATCTTAGTGTGACCTTTACCTTATAAGTTGTGATATGGGCCTTAGCCAGGACATATTGTCTGTGGTAGCCAAGTTATTTAAAAAAAATTAATGAACAACAAAGTTACAGTCCCGCATTAATGTGTACATCCTTGAAATTATAAGTGTGACCTAAACCTTGGAGGTAGGGACATGGGCCTTGGGTCCAAAACGTCTTCTTGATGAAGAAGACATTTTTATTAAATAATTTTAAAAATCCTTTGATGCATGTCAAAGGTACAGTCCGGACACGAATTTGTGTACCTATAATATCTAGCGTAACCACTGTTGTACAGCGTCCACCGGATATAGCCCCTAAAAACACCGAAAACGAAAGTAGAAAGCTGCACAACGAGTACACCCAAGGTAATGTTTTAACTTATTTCTTCATCATTACTTCATCGATTTTTCCAAACTAAACAATATTGTGAAGCTAAATATGTCTAGTTTTTCAGCAGTGTTTGCTTTTGCCTGCAAACTAAATACTTTTTGTTAAATTGGTGATAAAATGTAGCGTATTTGTTGACATTTGCAAACGATGTTGATATTTACCACTAAATCAAGCACAAAACGCATTTGCTGTATCAAATTCCGCCGTTAATACAAACTATAGTCATCCCTCTACTTATATTTGAGTTTTCACCCTTCAACTCGAGCTGCTTTTAACAAAATTTGCGAAAAACTGCCTTGCCTTGTGTACAGAGTCTAGCACGGATGTGTACGGGGTGTAGATGGAAAACTGATAGCGATTGTACGGGGTGTAGTAGGTAAACGAATGTCATTTTCTGCAAAATATATTCAGTACCAGAGCATATACACGTGCGCTGATGAAGAAAACGATTTATGTCGGGATCAGGGATTGTGAAGTGAATGATTTTAATTTTATTAAGGATAAAAATGTTTAATTAAATTGTCAACATGTTACGCAACATGTATATTAATTGCAGTAAACAGTTTCCTGCTATACCACTTTTTATGCGTGACTATAAGTTAATAGGGTAAATGTAAAACTCAAAAGACCACAATTTAATTCCATATTTAGTAGAACATTATGAACAGAAAATTCTATAATTTGTCTTAAACAATTTCAAACCATGTTCGTGTTATGCATTGTGAACTAAACTTGATCTAAACTATATTTGTTTATTATGTTACCGGCCTTAAGACTTCATTGAAAACAAACAATATGTTAATGAGCTTTGGTAAAATATCCGCCTTGATTAGTTAGGTTAATCATTAGATTTATCTTTGTGGAAATACCATATTACTGGCTATAAAGTCCTTCATAGTTTTTGCAGTCAAACTCGGATGACCTCACTTGTGATTTCGATATTCAGTTTAATAAATACAATGCTGCCGCTTATATGACGCTGTTTTTTTCTGAAAATGATTATGATGACTCTTCAATGACGATGATGATAATGATGGTATTTTATGTTTTCATTTCAACATTGCCATACCAATGTACAGAGTATGCAGAGAGATATGAAACATTTAAAGAGTCTATTCGGCATCTTCTAAGCCGACTCATAGCTTATATAAGGCGGCTAAAACTGTTTTATAGAAGACAGTGCTAACGTTTTGTAGAAAATGACAGTCCTGCATAATCTTTTAAACTTCGACCTCCTACCTTATGTGTAGGTTAGTTATACATGTATATATATATAAATATATCCCCATTTGGACAATCTCCATTCAGCGAGTCGGTAAGAAGACTCCTCAACATGTCTTATAAATACCGACAGACACTATTCAGCTGATGGTTGTGATGGTATGACAATAAAAATTAAACGCAGCTATACTGTTGGGCTCAAAAACACTAAAAACATAAATTATTTATCAAACACGGTGAAATACCTCTGTATCGTCCTCTAACCTATCCATGTTTAGTCTGATATGAGATTATTTCCAATTAAAAATAATAAAAAAGACTATACATTATAAATATGTGACTGCTAGACACCGTACACATCTACTAAACCCTGTACATTAAACTACTACACCCTGTTCACTTAAATTTGTTTTCTTTGCTAGACTCTGTACACAAGGCAAGGCAGATTTTTGCGAATTTTGTTAAAAGCAGCTCGAGTTGAAGGGTGTAAACTCAAATATAAGTAGAGGGATGACTATAATTTGTGTAAAACGGAAAATTTTGATACAGCAAATGCGTTTTGGGTTTGATTTAGTGGTAAATATCAACATCGTTCGCACATGTCAACAAATACGCTACACTTTTTCGCCAAGTTAACAAAAAGTAGTCAATGTGCAGACAAAAGCAAATATTGCTCTAAAACCACAATCATTAAGCTTCACAAAATTGTTTAGTTTGGACAAATCGATGAAGTTATGATGAAGAAATAAGTTTAAACATTACCTTGGGTGTACTCGTTGTGAAGCTTTCTACTTTCGTTTTCGGTGTTTTTAAGGGCTATATCCGGTGGACGCTGTACAACAGTGGTAACCCTTCAAAATGTAATTGTGACCTTAACCTTTGAAGAAGGGACGTGGTTCTTGGACGTGACACAGTGTAGTGATGTGGTATACATTTATGCCAATATATTTTAGATTCCCTCTATGCATGCTTAAGTTACAATCTGAACACGGTTGTTGCGTATGTGGAGATGCACGGACGGACAGACGGACATGAGTCTTAGCCGCGACACATGATCTTGATGTGGTAGACATTTGTACCAAGTTATTTTTAAATCCTTTAATGCATGACAAAGTTACAGTCCGGATATGAATGTGTATCTTTAAACTCTTCTTGAGAGAATGAGTACCTTCAAACTATAAGTGTGACCATGACCTTGGAGATAGGGATATGGGTCTAGAATCTTAATGTGGTACACATTTATGCCAAGTTATTTTAAATTTTCTCTATGCATGACAAAGTTACCGTCCGGGTATGATTGTGTAGTTATTAACTCATATTGTGATAATGTGAAACTTCAAAATGTCAGTTTGACCTTGACCTATAAGGTAGGGACGTAATTCTTGGACGCAAGACATTTGTGCCAAGCTATTTTAAAATCCCTCAATGTATGACACATCTACAGTCCGGACACGAATGAATTGGGGATGCACAGATAGACAGACGGACGGTGCGATTTTAAAATGCGCCCTTTGGGGGCATACAAATATTTATCAATATCGGGTTCAATTTTGTTACGTGAAATTTATTTTAAATTGTTGTTGTGGTAAAGACAGTATGAAGACAGTTAATTAAGAAATACAAAAAGTTAACGACAAATGTGAAAAGTTTTTGGACGGCAATAGCAACGAACATGGGAACAGACGACATGATTGTAGCAATAGGTCGGGTTCTGTATTTAGAAAGGTCCAGCCAAGATAACATGTGTAATTTCCATACCACCGTCTATTTTTTTCTAAATTTCATTGAAATCGTTTTAATACATTTGAGTTATCACAATATTTTGTTTTTTTAGCTATATTTAAGTCTATTTATTGTCATAGCAGCCAGAATTGTCAATAAAGTAACTATCTAGTAACCATTTTGTTAAGTTTCATTAATTATTTAGTACTTTTGGATATGCCACGGCATCCAGTTTTTGTGGACGGACGGACTGATAAGAAGGAAATACGTTTAACAATACTCTTGTGCACAAGGAGCGGTGGCAAAGTGGTTAAGGTGTCTGCCTCTTAATCCAGAGAGCATGGGTTCGAGCCCTACTCGGGTCACGAACATGTTTCTTTATATGATACCAGTATTGGTTGGTTCCAAACACTCGAAAGTGATCCATATAAGTTTCAAAAACTTGTTTCGCAATCGAGCTTAAATAAATATGTTTAAACCAAGTAGATGTTTATGTCATACTGTTGAAAGAACAATTATTTTGTATGTTGATGGCTTTTTAAACATAAAACATGCAAACAACTGTACAGAAAATCAAACAATTAACAAACAAAGGATGCAGTTTGGCATGTTGTTTAGTTTAAAGCATCTTATCGTAAGTGATAAAGGTGGACGATGTCAGTTTATTTACGATTGATTTATAAATTTCAATCATATCGAACCTAGACAGACAACAATTGAAAATCATCCCTTATCATCTAAGGCAAATTAAAGCATCCTTGTCGGCACTATGAATATTTAAATACGGTACTGTGTCAAAATCTAAAAAAAAAAATGTAACAATGCTTCGTCGGGTCAATGTCTGTAATGTCTTGTTGCTTTGACTTCAATTTGAATATTAAGTACAGTTGTTGATGTCATTTTGGTTTTCCTTTTATATGTATTTACATGATCATTGCAGTGACTTTAGCCATGTTACCTTATGTAACCATAGTAAACTCCCCTATTGCTCGTTATATTCATTTTTTTAAAATTTCATTTCTTGTAATATTTTTTTCAACGGTAAGTATTTACTTTCTACCACAATTTCTTTTCCTTGCCCCACATCTACTGTTATCCTTTTTTAATTCCTGTATCATCTTATTTAATTATTCCCTCTTCTTATTAATTAACAGCCTCTGCTATTCTTCGCTACCTACTTCTCCCTATTCTATAATGTGTTTGGATTGCAAGCTAGCCTCCATGCTCCCTAGCACCAGCTTAAGCAGATCTCGATATTTAAACAGATAAATCAAATTCTGGTATCAAGAAACGTTTGCAGCTGTGTTCATACGGCGGCAATCGTGGCACGGTTATTGCAATACCTTTGTGTCATATTTGAAAAGCAACCTATGAGCCCAAACCAAATTTGAAATAAATAATATAATAAATATTATCAAAAAACTAATACAGCAGGCATGATCTGCTAACATTGTGTCAAAGTTAAGAACATGCTCATGAAAATGTATCATGTCTTATGATTTGTGCTCAATAAAATGAGATATTTTAGTATGTTTCAATTTTAGCATCTGTACCAAAACCTACAAGTGACCAATTATTGACATCAACCTACAGTCAGATGTCAGAAACGACCCATTGGAACAATACCATTACTATTAACGCAACGATTAGAACCTTTAGCGCATCACAAGGTAAACTTGATATAATGAAGGTAGCAACAAAGCACGATTATTTTAATATAAATTAATTACATATTTAAATGACATGAAGCAGTTTGTTTTGCTTTGGTAACGTAAACCTCATTAAGTAAAACATTTTTGTTAACAAATTGAACAAATAAATGTGCTTACAATTTTGAAATTTAATTAAAGACTGGCTGGCTTAAGATGAGAAGTCACTCATACATTATCTAAATACTGTCTTGACAGAACATTAAATTCATGAACTAATTTCTCTTTATCTTTTTCTTTGAAACAAACAATATCACATCCCTACCAGCCATGACTTCAACGCTTACTTCTGCTTCCTCAATAAGTCAACCTTTCTCCACATATTTAATGAATGATACATTCATCAATAGTACGGAAGGCTTTCGATCAAAGTTGGAGACAAGAACAGAGAGTAAGTGGAATTGTGAAAGAAATGCTTAGCTTTTTATACGCCCGAAAGTATTTCGGCGTCTATTGCTATATACCTTGTCGTCCGTTCGTCTGTCTGATTTGTGTTTGGTTTGTATCTTTTGAACCAATAGATAGAAATTGAAACTCCTAGGCACAAATGTTAACCACAATGAGTAATTTTGCAGAGCGCAAATTTGACCATAATCAGGTAAAGGTCTCTCCTTTTGTATGAATTTCTTGTGTCCGCTGTATCTTTTGAACAATAGAAATAAGTAGAAAGTTTTGACAGATATATTACTTTGAATAAGACGATGTGCAGGTTTTAACTTCCTGAGATCAAAACTGGCCCATCCTCTAGGATAACTTGTAGATATAGATTTATATTGGAGACACATTTACGTCTCATTCTATGAAACTACAATATCTGAAGCTTCGATATTTAGCTTGTAGCCTTGCCTCATTGACCTTTACAAAACTTATCTTAATCATGCCCTTTCCTTCATCATTGGCCCCTCCCAAAGGGACACTAAATTTATACAGACTTATACATGTATAGATAAGCACATGCTAGACATATTTTGTCACACTTGAGCCAAGAGATTAAACATTACTTTGTGGACCACATAATTACTGGTATTGATCATATCTCTTTGGTTTATATTGCCCCATCCCGCGGATCACTTAGCTAAATATAGTTTTGAGTAACATGTTTTAGTCTTATTTTGTAAAACTGATTTGCATAGATCATAGCTATTTGACATGTAGCATTGCCTTGTTCGCCTCTAAAAAACAGGTTATAGTCACATATTTAATATAGACTTCTAAAGGACGCTTAACATGTGTAGTTCCAATGCTCAGAGCTTAGCGATTTTGCATGTAGTATTTCGTTATCGGCCTTCACAAAACTAATTAAAATTCGCATGCCCTTTTGATCACTATACGACGGTTTCGGGATTCAAAATAACTTTTTTTTAAAAAAAAAAAAGAACAATTAATTTTATTGTGTGAAACTACGATTTCAAGATATTTAGAAGAACATAGCCTTGTTGATCTCTGCAAAACAGATATAAATCATGCTCATCTGGTTCAGTAGGGGTCAATAAATTTAATTAAATATATAAACTTATGAAAACACATTTACATCTTATTGTGTAAAACTACAAAGCCCAGAACTTAGATAGTTGACATTAAATGCAAGACATAACTAAAAGCTTTTTTATATGATATGAAAAGTGTGTATTAATAACAAATTGCTTAATCCTTCTTAATTTTTACATTTTTTACACACAAAGTAGTCAACAATTATGTTGATCAATGTTTTTTTCAACGAAATGATTTATTGGTTGACGTTTTGAACGATGTCAGTATACATGATTCCATATTTTCCTTTTTATTCTAATAATCAGTTCGTTTATAATATTTTGAATTCATATTTTTGGCAGGTTCAAACGTCAGTATCCCTGTCAGCATTACGGTTGCAGTGATAACCCTTGTGGCAGTTGTTGTGATAATAACATTAATAAGAAGGTATGATAGTAACGCAACTTTTGTTTGGGCGGTGATGCTAGTAATTTTCACTCCGGATCACGGAAGTAAGCCACATTGAAATTACCAGAGCACAGTGCAACCATCGCATCGTTCCTGGGCAGCCTGTCAAGCAGTTTACCAGTATCAGTTGGCTCCACTTTCGCAAGGAACTGAAACTTCTGTACATGTCAGAGCAAAGGTTCAGCGCAAATGACCGTTGAAAAGATGTCACGACCAATCACAACGAAAGTGGCCTGCACCGTCCGGGAATCGAACCTGGGTCACCCGATTCATAGTCCAACGCTCAACCTATTGAGCTAACCGGACGGCAAATTTTGCTTGATATTTAGAAAGCAATAAATAAGGTACTCCTTCTGTTTCAATGCACTACGATAACTCATCAATCAAATAACACAGCAAGTCATTTATCTTCTAGTTTTCTTGTATTTCAGAGGGAAACTTGAAGGCATATGCAACAAAAATTCTAATACGGAAAATTCAACAAAAGGAATTGTTATAACAGATAAGATTTCTGCTCAAAACAATGTGTACAATGAGCCAGCAATATCTGATTACGAACAAATAAGTGAACTTAAAGATAATAATAATGTAGATATTAAAGCAGATCTTGACGAAGGAAATGGTAATTACGGACAAACATATTTCGTCCTGGAACCTGGCTCCAGGGAATCTCATACAGATGGTGACATGTCAGATTCCATGAAAGAGGAAACAGAAATGAACGATGATTATAATACATTACATCTCAATAAAACCTTTGGCGCAAAAGCTGATGACACTTACGATACAACCGAAAAAGCAGCTATAAAACTGAAAGCGTTACAAAATACAGGATGTGAAAAAGAATTCCTTGGAAAGTTAAACGAAAACGAAGAAGACACATATAATCACATCAGCAGAAATCTCTTCAAAAATAACAAAACAGACAATATTTATGGTGTAACTGACAATCAAGAAAACGATTATGGGGATGTAAACAACGGTTGCGAAAAGAATCTCCGTGATGGAGATGACACGTACAGTCATTTAAACACTACTCATTAACCGGATAAAAATGTGTGTTCACTTGCTTAACTTGTTTAAAAAGAACAGAGCGCAGTAATGTTTGTAAATCAGTAAGCTAGTTAATTGTTTGAGTCTTACAAATCATCATCTGTTCAAAAAGAAATTTATGTGTGTGATATATCTGATGATTGAAGCCATGCAAATCTTACAAGGTTAATTAAAAATCTTCACAATATTCTACTTATTGATCATATTAAAAAGTATACATTTAAATTGTAATGCACAATTTTAATACTTTTAATAACGATTTGTTTATAATCATTTTAAATGTACTTTTGTTAGATTCTTTATTACCTATATATCTTGGTAACATGCTTTTTATTAACATAAAAAATGTAGTAGCAATATCGGTATTTTTTCTCACTTGGGAAAACAGTTAAAATGTACATATTCTCCATATTGCACTTTATCAAGGTTTCAAGAGATACTTTAAATTTGTAGTTATAGTTTTGTTCTTTTAGTTTAAAATACGATTTTTAATGACGGCACGATTCAAAGTATAAGCCCTACTTTTTAAACAAATAGTGTGTTGCTTTGCTAGGCAAACAGTCAAATTTCTTGAGATAGGAACATAGTTAAGTAACAAACCATATATTTTCACGAATCTATCCTAAAATATCATAAAAAATTCCAATTACTTTGTACCCAAAGAATAGCTGGGTGACTTCCCTTTCCGCACTTTTCGGTTTAAAAAAATCCCTCACGACGACCTTTAGTGCATAAATAAATTTTACATTTCCGAAGCTCCCGACCCCTACACATTTGTTGTCTGCAAATTGGCTCATTTAATAGTCTGGAAGCAGGTTTTTATGACAGTGTTAGACACATGACACATGTCAAGTATCCAATATTGCATGTCGCTAGCGTGGACCAGACAAACTCGACAGTTTCTTCTAATATTTCTTTTATTTTAGGTATTTTCACTATCTTCCAGAGCCCTCAATCATGTACTAATTTGTCATATTGTGTTGCAGATTGTCCAATGCAATAGTTAGAGATTTCCCTCAATGGTGATAGCAAACGAATTTGAAAGATGTTTTCTTTTGCTTTTTATAAAAATGAAGCATTTCGTAGAGTCCTGCGTCACCTAACCGTTCGTCTGATCTTGTAGAGGATAAGCTCATGGGATAACTTGCAACATTATTGTTACATCCATATAAAAACATGACTCGTGTTGATGGCAGATGCCCGCATGTTTTGTTTTATGGAAATGCTTATGTCGTTTGTTGTGAATCATGTGAAAATGAGTAAAATGACATATAGTATTGTCATTATTATTTAGTAAAAATAAATTCCCCAAAACAATGTAAAAATATCGTTTTATCAGATCTTAGTATATGTAAGTGTTTGTCAGTCAGCATTGCTGAAAATAAATCTCTATGACCCAGCACAGCAACGCAACAGTTTTAATGAAATTATTGCTGACATAACATACACTTACCTTCTTAGTGGTTAAATTATATTTTGGAAACTTACACAGAACCAGAATGATAGGTGTATTTAATTTGATAGTCTTCAATGACAAAACTTTGCAGATTAAATAAACTAAATGTGCCACAACATTTTTAAAATGGAACAGACTCATTGGACGAAGTATATTTTCAAATACAAAGTAACATTAACTGAAGTCATAAAGCACGATATTTTTTTATCAAGAAAAGTAATGCTTTTTTATTTACCGGGAAAATTCCAATTTTTTAAATATATGTATCCTTCAATTTTGTTTCCTGAAATATCGATGTCGACCCTTCTATTACTTGTCAATTTGATTTGAGTCCTTTAATTTCAAATACTTCTTAACTTTATTGCGTCTGTGTTTATGGGCGTCATTTAGCAAGCTTTGGGAATGTTTGTGATTTTGACAACAGTTAAACTTAAAAAAAAAAAAAAAAAAAAAAAAAAAAAAAAAAAAAAAAAAAAACACACAAGAAAACAAACAATCACGCACGCACGCACACACACGCACACACGCACGCACGCACGCATACACACAATCAATAGACCGGTATTTTTCCTGAACAATAAATAGCACAAGACGATAACGTTGCTATTGAACCCTTCTTCCATAAACACAAAAAATAAACGCTTCATTTTAGACTGAATTTCCTCATCAAATTCGTGTTAAAAATAGTGTATTGGTCCGTGAAATTGTTAGGTTCCATCTATCCCCGTTTGCTCATTTTTTTATACACATTTAAATGTTGTAAAAGTTAAAACATGTATTTCATTTCAATTTGACAGTAAATATAGTGAAATCTTATAAAATTTCATACTTTTTTTCCCAGCGTTGATGCATCAATATATAAAAAGGATGAAGAAATATCTTAAAATTAATCAAAGTAATGCAGAGGTACCATATCTTCTGCCTTTTAAGTAGTTTTTCGTCGGTCGGCTGTTTCTTTTCACTAAAACATTTCATTATCGACGGAAAAACAGAAAATACCCCTGATTACCTTCAGATGAGTTCGACTCCCGGTGAACCTTTTAATTTGGATACAGCCGTATAAGTGTTGATGCGGCGGTGATAAAGGAATCTGTCATGAGACACGTCCGAACTTTTCCTGTGAAAAGTAAGAAAAGAAACGCACGCGCTCTTATTGAGAATACTGGCATAATTACAGAACTTGGTTTTTCAAAGGGAAATATAGATAATTACACACAGTCAAATGAAACAAAATGAAGGGTGAAAATATACTCGTAGTTTTTAAGCAGGAATACAAGAACCAAACATCAAGAAATCCCCCCCCCCCCAAAAAAAAAAAAAACAACAAAAAAACACATAATAAAAAAAAAAAACCAAAAAAAAACCCAACAACATCGAATGACAAAGTTGAATATATTATTAATTGGCTAATTTTGGTGACTATTGTTCATATTACCACAATTCTTTGTACAAAATCGATTTAGACATTTTAAAGAAACTTTCGAGAGAAATTCTTTACATTTTATTACTTTCAAAATAGATGCCGGTGAAAAACAACAATGTCCATCTTTATGGTCATTTTATAATTTAATATTGTTTTCTGATAAGTTTAGAGTAGTAAGATTTGATCTTTCAATAATCTACTGTTTATCAACAATAATCTCAATAATGTGCTTAAGAGTTGAGGCATCAGAATTTCAGCCACTGTGTCTCCTTTTCTGATATGTTTAGAGTAGTAAGAAGTGACCTTTCATTTATTAAATAGTTAACAATATTCCCCTTGTGCTTAAGATATTGCCTTTATGTGTTGAGGCATCGGCAATTCAACCACTGTGTCGTAGGAGGCGGGTAACGGAGTTGGAATGATTTGAGACAATGCGTCTCAAGCAGATGATCATGTTTGTATCACCCGAAGTTAGCCAAAATTCAGCGCAATATGACCTTATGATCCGTAAAAATAAACAAAACAAACAAACACTCAAACAAACATTGTCTGCAACAGTAAAATACAAAAGAGTGACAGCTTTGATCCAGGACTGAAAATTGATTACTATACAATACATAGGATAAAACATTTAAACGTTATCGTTAAGTATATTTAAAATAGTGAAAGCTTTTAAGTTTATATATGTAGAAGACACTCATATTATAGTTACAATAATTCACCACATTTTAAAGCATAAATGATTCAGATATGTCATCAGTTGCATTGACGCTTTTTTATCATGAATATATTTTAAGCTACCTTGACATCTCTTATTTCTTCTCAGCCGAAAGTCACTCAAAACACAACACTACGTAGCATTTAGTTTCGTAACCATTCAAACCTTGGTATTATTATAGATTTTTCCGGATCCAGGTTTATCAACATCTTTATACTGTATCACATTACTGCGCGTAACATTTGACTAACATCCTGTTCATCTTGTCATTTACATACATGGAAGCAGTTCTTTTCAAAACAAATTCTTACATAATGCCTTCATTGATAATCAAGATGTAGTCATATAATGCTGTTTGTGAGTTTGAATCTGAAATTTTAGAAATGGTTGACATAAAGAATTGTTATTTACAGAACAACACAACAACAAAAAACAATAATGAAATATAAGGATATATCTTTTCATACAGCAGAGATAATATTCACAATAAGCTGAATTGAAATTCTTAAAAGTTTTAGAAGTCTACGGTACACTTTTGAATATTGTAATTAAAGCACGATATTTAAACGTTAAAATAAAGTTAATTTGGGCACAGTAAACGTTGAGCAAAGCAATCATATGGTATCGAAAATATGTACTCATTTAAAAGGAAGTTAAGGTAAAAAAATGTGTGTGCAGAGCAAGAAACACGATGTACACGATGGACAATATTTTAGACATATACAATGTCAGTGGATAAAAAAAGTTTTCTTTAGTTCTTAAGTGTAACTTACAAATATTATCAACTTAAAAATATAGCCTAATAACCTGTTTAATGTAAACAAATAATCAATTAGCCATTTCAATAAGCGTTAAAGAGCCTTTTATGGAACTGAAGGTAAGTATGATATAGTTAAGTATTTTCAAATAAATAAACCTTGCCCATGTTTAATCCAAAAGCATGCTAATCTTATTTATTTCACATTGAAAAACAAATTCCAAGGAATTTACTCTGTAGCAGCAAAACAACGTTTTGGTTTGCCTTATCTACAAGCCATTCTCTGTTTCACAATACATTCATTCGATTGATTGCAGGTTTAAACTTCATGAAAAAAAATCAAAGAATGCAACATTATTTACATAGCTTCATCATGACAGATTGTTGGTTTTGCTCAGGTGCTTGCTCGAGCAAGAAATAATGCACAAGTACAGTACAGCTAAAATTCGCTATATGACCTTTTCAATGTCCTTATGATTAACATTCCAGCAGCAACAACAACAACAACAACCACAACAACAACACATAAAAACACATAACATGTTGTGCAGAAGAGAAGAAAAACGTAACGCATAGTGGCAATATTTTTGTTCAAATATTTTTTATTCGTTTGTAAAAAAGAACAATATCTTAAACAACA